GTCATTCGAATTTTCATCTCTGCTGCTGGTGTTTCCTATCATATTTTAGTTGATATCATCGTGCAGCGACACTTCAACTCGGTGGAGCAATTCGCCGACCGAATTCTGAATGACACCTTCCATCCCCTTCATAACGAGTTAATGGCTGAAAAATCCTTATGCCCCATGCGTCGAGGTTGCCGCCACATCCCTTGCCGCACTTCGGCTTATCAGAATTCCGTACTGCCATTTCTAGCCCGGTATCTCACCTGCAAAGATGTTGAAAAACAAAAACTAAAACTCGATCTTGCACCTTAAAGCCCTTTTTTTCATATATAATTATGTCCACCTGTCCAATACTTGTTAATCTCTATGGTAATCACTGTGTACTGGAGAACCGTTTTTGCTGAAAGTTTTGAAAGTTATTTTTAAAATAAAGCATTCCTCTCTCTCTCTCTAATCGATCCCTGTCTGCCAGGTGAATAGGACAGTAGACGAGTTTCAGCGAAACTGCCCTGATGGGAAAACTATAATTCGTTGTTCAACCTTCTGTATTGGGAGATATTAAACTATCTTCTGCTAGCAACACTGTAGTAATTGCCCACATATTTGCCGCTAATTTCTCTGAATCCGGCTAATTCGCTTATAAATGCAGTATCTAAGATTTATGAATCGTTTCGCGGGGTTCAAACGTCATTTTGTAATTCCTGAATGTTTCTGAACATTTGACTGTTTCGTAATGATAACTCGTAAACCAATAAGTCATCTATATTCAAGGCCTGCATATTAAGCGTACAGCATAATGTACATATGTGTGAATGATAAGTCGGCGGTTCCAAGGCATGATATGAAGTAGTGCAGTTCTTTGATGCGAGATGCGGGGAGATAATACTAACGAGTTCGTTCTTGATGTCTGTATTCGAACATCAACATCTTTTGAATATAACTTCAATAATTTGATAGCAGTGCATAATTCGACGACTTAAAACCATGTGAACTGCCTTTGGTGTCAGACTGAAGAATATATGTCGCATTACGGGCCATTGAGCTAAATAAATTCCAGTCAACTATCATTTGCTCTGTGTCTCTAACGCATCTCGCATTTTTAAGTCCACTTCCTTATGTCTCCTCGCTTCTTTATTATTCTCAGGTGCACCAAAACAAAAAAACCCACCACCTAGTTGGCGATAAGCCAGCAAGTCCTGTTGGTCCAAAGGATGCTTAAAAGAACAACACAAAAGCGAATGAAAGGCCCTGATAATTCAACGGCTGTATCGCAGAACTGCAGTCTACGGAAGTGGTGATAACGACAAGAGAAATCAAAAAAAAATAATTACGGGTTGATTGGATTGTTTTTAGAAGGGGATACTGGACCCGGTCACTTTTCAGAACTAAAGTTTTTAATTATCTGCGATAGATGTGAGAGTAATGGCTCGATCACTTAGGCAAGAATTAAAGTCGCTTGAGGTCTCAAAAGACTGCATGGCCGGGGAAAACAACAGAATGAAATTGCGGATGCAATGTGGATGCATTATGCATAAGCTGCAATTGCTATGCTACCATACGCCTGCTTATAGCCATGTCGTCCTACTTCACCACTCAATTTGGTAGTTCATTTGGTGGTGTTTCAAGCGTATGCGCCCATGTCCTGGATGACGTTTCTCTTTCCGTTTTTAAGTATTATAATCTTGCCCTGCCCTAGTAACTAACGTCGGGATTCCTACGTGCTAAGGACCAGAGACAACCTATTTATTTGCCAAAAAATTCCCAAAGGATTCACAATGTTAGGACTACAAATAAGCTCCTTAATTTTTGTCGAATGGAAGGTTCGAGGTAAATATATGCCGGCTGATTCATCTGGCACCCAGTTTCTTCGTTCTGGAAACAGTCTTTGCTCTCCCAACATTTCCCACGCGACGTATATTCTACTCAGTAAAATTTTGTGCACTACCATTGGTAACATATTGTTTCAGTTTCACGAGTATAATTACGAAAAATACCCAAAATCAAAACGGGTTCCAGGGGCTATGTGCAATTAGCGTGAATGCCTGAGCACTCAGCAAGAACAACGGCTGCAATTTGTTAATGACTAAGTATGAAAATAGGCTGGGTATGTGCTGAGCTAGTTTCATCCCACGATCTCATTATCCCCCGACCTGAGCCGGCATCTCAATGACATAAACGCGTTTTCTTTATGAGATTATACCAGTTGGTATAGTAAAGTTGCACTCTAAAGCCTTCATCGACAGACACAAACACAATGGTTGACCAATACTTGCAGAATTGTCGATACGAGGCCCACATCCATGTAATAAAAGACATCTATCTTTCCCAAACTTTGCCGACAGTATCGGTGAAGGGACATCAGGTGCTGTCTCCACTGGGCATCTGGTAAGCTAGCTGCACAATTTTTTACAGAAACCATAATAATTACTTTAACCGAAATGATACCTGAGGGATGTTGAGCAAAAAGGCGAGGGCAGGTAAGCAGGAAATAAATCACATGGTAGAAGAGAGAGAGCGACGAAAAAAGTGTGATGATTAATGATTATTTATGTCAAGCGTATATACTTAAAGAGTGTTCTAACCTTTGACCATTCAGTCAGCATTTTCCGCTCATTCTTTAGGAAGAAGTGGCGTGTACCGCAGAATGTTATCCTTGTGGAGGCAAAACTGAACTGTTAGGTAAGCGGCCGCTTAAGTAATAAATGTTTCTGAACTAATTGAAAGATGTCGGTACTAACACGAAAACAAGCTTTGCTCATATTCATTAGTCCTTTTTCTACCTGCCTGAGAGATCTAAACAAATGGATAAATGGTTCTGTGGGGAAGATGCCGTCTTCACAATTCAACGCACTAAAAAGACTGTCACCTATAGCGGCCAGATTTTTGATCTCATAATGGGAAGGCGTCGCAAATTCATGGAAATTGTAGTGGGGATGGAGAATATGAAGAAGAATGATGGCGAAGTGGAGCAAGAGTAGTAAGGAGATTTCGTCAAGTGATATAAGTTAGTGGAGCTCAAGTGGTTAAATTAACTGAACGATGAGGAATTGGTTAAGGTTTATGCAAGTAAACGTGAGTGGAAAAAGTTGGAAGACGTAGACGACTCATGGGAAAATGAGTGCAGGTTTTGCTGGCGGACGAATAGAAGGTCATCGAAAAGCCGGCATGTTGACGTGGGATTATGCGCCATGAAAATCAATATCAAAACCGCAGCAGAACGATTCCTAGTACTTGATAATATATGTATATCTTATCATATATATATATGATATATATATTTTATCATTTTATCATTTCAATGGATATTTCTAGGGTAGGTCATAAATAATTTGCAATCATAAATACGCGTAATAAAATCAACGTCTAGGGTCCTGATAAATCAATATATTTTAAACGCAAAAAAACTGGCCATTAACTAAGAGCAAATATCTGACAGTTTAAGAATCTCAGTCCAGGTTAGAATTTTGGGACCTACTGAACATGATTTTGTGCAGAAACATTAGAAGAGACAGTTTGCACGTTGCAGAATAATATTACTACCGTTACTTACGTCTTATCATCTAGTTCGCTACATAAACTAACTGACTATGAGCACGCTTATTGTTCTTACACTAGAAGTACAGTATCTTTCACATGAATGTCCTGTTTGCGATTCCGCTAAAGCCCAATTTTACAATGCTTACTCTTTTAATACTATTTACGGAGCCCACGAAATACATTGGGGTCGGAAATTAGTAAGCGCGCATTGCGATCGATTTTTCTAGCTTAGTCAAGCCACTTATTCTGACGGTTTTCAAATGCGTGTATGATTTCAGGATTTTACCGTTTAGGTCCATGCATAGCGAAATATACACACTGAATGCTTCTTTACAAACCTCTAACTGTATCTCATAAGCTTTAACGGTTCGTTTATATTGCATATCTTATAGGATCTGCAGCTTTTATTCCTACCTGCACACCAAACTTTGCATTCACTGGACAACATATGAGTTAAGGTTAATAACACAAAGTCCCATGAGTAATCTTGGGTCCTTCTTGCATGAAATATTTTCGTTTCTGTCGAATTATTTTGGACATACACATACGCACATGCTTAAACTTTAAACAGCAATGCCGGTTGATTCTTCTGGTGCCGTGCTTCATCATTCTGGCAACATTTCGTGCGCTGCAAAAGTTTCCCGCACCGTGAAATTTTATGCCCAAAAACTGCAGGCACATTGCTTCAACTTTTTAACACGATTATGAAAAGAAGACGAACAGAAAGCGGGTTTCAGACGCTAAGTACACTTAGTGTGAATGCGTGAGCACTCAGCAAGAATAAAAAATGTCATGACTAAATGACTAAGCTTGTAAATATGCTCGATTTCCGCTGAGCTATTTTCACCCCACGATCTCATTATCTCCCGATTTAAGCCGACTTTTCAGTGATATAAGCGCGTTTTCTTTATGAAATTATGCCAGCGGGTGTTAGTCACGTTTCGCTCTGAAACTTTCGTCGACAGATAGAAACACAACGGTTGACTCAAACTTGCAGAATTGTCGATACCAGGCACCCACCCATGTGAAATATATCCAATTACTTGAACATATCTCTTTTTCCCAATGTTTGTCTACGGTATAGGTGAAGGGCGGACGCGTGCTGTCTCAACTGAGCATCTGCGAGGCCAGCTGCACTATTTTTTAAGGATTTGCGTAATTGTTTCTTGACAAAAAATGATGTCCGAGGAATGTTAAATGAAAACGTGAGGGCAGGGTAATAGAATATAAATAAAATGGAAAAAGAAAAAGACAAAAAATAAAGTGTGATGATTCATGATTATTCAAGTCAAGCGCAGCTACTTAAAGAGCGTTCTAGCCTTTGTCCATTTAAACAGCATTGTGCGTTCATTTAACAGGTAAAAGCGTGCGTACCGTAAAATGAAATCATTGTGGAAATTGAAGTGTAGATGGAGTATTATGAAGAAAACGGCGCGGAAGGGGAGCAGGAGTGGGGAGGGTAGATTTTGTCAAGTGATTCAAGGTGGTGGAGCTGAATAAGTGGAAAGAGCCGGAATCTGGGGACATGGTTGAGGTCGATGCAAGTGAGTATGAGTGGGAGAAGATGGGAGACGTAGAGGACTCATAAGATAATAAGAAGGTGGTGGAGAGTGGCGAACTGGAAATCCAGCAAAAGCATGAGGATTGGGACCACGATTGGGTAGTTGGAGTGGAAGGGGAGGAGGTGGAGGAGGAACTGAACAATGGGAGATAGGATGAGAAAGTTGTAAAGGCGGACAAAAGGTTAGCTTGTGTTTAAGTAGAGAACGAAGAGACGTAAAGGAGTAATTGCAAAATGCGAAAGCCGTGAGGAATCTGTGGTCGAGGCGTAGGAGTTGCGTGACCGACAACGTCCCTGATATGGGTGTCAATGGAGTTTACTCGAAGCAGGCCTCCATCACACGGCTTTAAGTTGTGCGTCTTAGTTGAAAAAAAGCCGTATTATAAAATGTTTAAAGGCCTCGCAGACTTGCCATGCTTCCCAACTACGCTCTAGAAATTTGGAACGTAGATCTTCTGGCGGTTTTGTTTAGGAGGGCTGTAGGATTCCTGTTGAAAACAACACCCTTACTGTGGAGCACTTGGTGTGAATTGACTTCTGTCTAATTGACGACTGCAGGAGGGAGCTAATACGTCCGCACACGGGTGGTTTAATGCGTTGCGGTATCGCATATTCAATTAAGAAAAGACACTCGACTGTGACTCATTCTGCAAAGTAGTCACATGCCTCCTTACCGTCTTGCGTATAATCCAATTTTCTGATAATCGTCCTCCACATAAGTCGAGTGCAAAATGAAATATCGCAAAATCAGTCCTTAATTCACCCCCGTAGGCCTCCGATCACACCGTCGCACACGAAGTGCGACGATCCTGGATGAAGGAGGGGGATGTGAGTGTTCAGGTTTATGCGGTAGCATGGCGACTGCAGCCTCTTGTGAATAAACCACCAGTACCTGCTTTTTTCTCTGATGTTGGGTTTCAGCAGGAATCTAAAACGTCAGGCTAAAAAAGCTATTGTCACAGCGATCGCGTCTCCTTTCTCAAGAATACGTAATTGGCCATATCGGACAGATAGTCGTGCGCAAAATGGATAGGCGTAACCCATTCATGAGGACTTTAGTGGAGGTACGGAACAAGGAGAGAAATGTTAAGGAAAAGGAGCTGGGGGTGGGAAAGGAGATTTTGTCAAGTGATGCAAGGTTGTGGAGCTAAAGAAGTAGAAGGCACTGGAAAATGAGGACATGATTGAGGTCGGTACAACTGAGCACGAGCTGGAGAAGGAGGAAGATTTATAGGGCTCATAGAAGGAAGGGAAGGTGAAGAAAGATGAAGACCAAGACGAACAGAAAGAGGATGAGGAGTAGGACCACGACTGGGGTAGTTGAAGTAAAGGAGTAGAGGAGACAGGAGGAGAAAGTGATAGAGGCTGACAAACCGCTAGTTTGTGATCAGCTCTTGTAAGAAGAGGGCGCAAACGAGGAAGCACTGAATGAGAAGACCGAAAGAGATGGCGGGAGTCTATTAGTTTGGGCTGCGTGACCCATAACTTCACAGATGTGGGCCTGAGTGGAGTTTGACCAAATCAGGCCCGCATCATTTGGTCCTAATTGGTGCGTATAATGCAGACAAAAATAGTACATACAAAAGTGCGCAATTTTTCATAGTCACGCCGACTTGCCATGCTTAAGCATCACGCTGTTGAAAAGTGCCAGGTGGCCTATCTTGCGGTTTGGTTTAATTGGGCTGTGTGACTCCTGTTGAAAACGACACTCTTACGAGGGAACAACTGCTATCTAACTGATGACAGCAGGGGGGAGCTACTGCGTCAACACGTGGGTGGAGTTTTGTGCGGTGACATTTTGAATTACATTTAGAAAAGACACTCGACTGTGCGTCATACTGCACAGTAGTCACATGCCTCCTAACCATCGTGCGTATAATCCAATTTTCTGATAATTGTCCTCCACATGAGTCTAGTGCAAAGTAAGATATTGCAAAATCAGCCCTTAATGCACCTGGTGTAGACAATGAAATTTCTGTCAGGTCTTAGGACGATTTCGCACAAAGACATCTTGCTGGTCATTTGGGGATTTTGACGCTCAATCACGCGGTTTGTGCTAACTACAGATTGCAATAGAAAGCACTATGGCGGTCACGTCAACCGGCGACTTTGCCTCATGATGCGAGTAATGTGGATACGTTTTGAATGATGTCAATTTACCCATCGTGGTGATGTTGGAGGCTTGTTCTGACAGTTTCCTCGCAGAGTGCTGTGGGGCCCTAGTGTCGCTGTGTACGTGACCTCAACCAATGAAGACCGGACATTTCTGCAGTGTGAGTGAACAGCAGCCAAAGCGAGACCCCTTCGTCGTCCCCGAATCCAGCAGAACCGCCAATTGGTAGCATTCGGGGCGGTCGCAGGCGGAATAAAAGAAAAATGCAGTGGTGAATATTAATGACTATCCAAGATGAGCAGAAACGCACCACAACTCTTCTTGCCTCTCCTTAGTAACCTCCTGCATCTAATAACAATGACGGCTTGACCTGTAGGCGATTCACGGGTCAGATGTATCAAAATAGTTAGTCATTGAATTTGTTCCGAATGTTCTTGCCGGCTCCATCGGCACTCACTATTGTGCATTCGTGGCATTGGCATCTTATGGCAAGGGTCTCCCGCTTGTGTAATAGCTGTTCTATTGAACGCAACTCATAGACATCATTCGAACAGACCTGTTTGGTTATCTCTCTGTCGGCAAGGATAACGACCTTTTCCACTGTGTCGTTAAAAACTTTTGTGTAGCATCGATAAAATATGAGGTAAATGTTTTAAAAAGGTAAGGTGTGCAAAAGAAGTACAGCAAATAACCTCGATACTGAAAGTAAGTGATCGATAAACAAAAAAACAGCGGTCACAAAAATAGGTCAAAATTCATCTTATAGTTATTGGCAATCAATGCGACTGCGTTTCCACAGCCTGCACGGAAAAGAACCCATATCGTTGGCACTTTCCTGAAAGCCCAGCATAAACAATGTCGATTTTAGACAGAGATTGTTTTCTCAGTCGCCACCACGCAGATATTGAGCATGCTGACGTCAAAAACGCTCATTTACCACTGTCCCTCACAGTCTGTACGAAAGTTTCGCATAATTTAAATAGCCTAACCTCTTGGAATGCAATTCTTCCATATAGACATCTAACTGACACAGATTTTTTTAAATTCGATGTTGCCTGCCATTTTGCAACACTTGAGGTCGATCACGGATACGTTTGTCCACATTTCTTCCAGGATTATCATTTTATGGGATAGGGGGTTTGGCCTTAAGTAATAATCATGTCTATCAAAAACGTCTGTGCTATCAATGAAACATCAACCACCTGGAAATACCACCTGGGGTTACGCCATCTTTTGTAGTCACACTGATAATGCAAGTTGTTAGGACTCCTGTAATACAATCATGGTGGTAATAGGAACTTTAATTATGAAGCTCAGGGGAACAATGGAGAGCACACTACGATCAGAAGAAATCCCAAAAGCGTTCTTTCCTGTTTTTTATAGCTGGAGGATTGTTGTGGTGACACTCTGCACGTCGGCTGATTCGACGTCATTGATCATTTTTTCTTTGCCGTTTGCATTAACACCGAATTCTGCATATTCGCTGCATTGGCACCTGATTACTCGGAACTAAGTGTTATTCCGACATAATTCGTTGTATGTTCGTCAAATACAATAATAATCTCTTCCTGTGGGTCAAGGACACATATTGTAAGGCTGAGATTTGAGATAATAGTAAAAGTTCGTGCCACACCACACACGAGGAATTTGGGGGCGGAAAATCCACATGGTTATTCACGTATACCGAAATAGACAAAGTCCTATTTTACGTATCTGAGACGGCAACGGATTGACCATCGAGACGTATAGGAGTTAAACTATGCAAAGAGGATGCAGGTTTCGTCATCTATCTATTGCACAGAGAAGACCACTACTTGTGTTTCTTCGTCCCGCCTCGCATATACACACTACAGCCAGGCGCTATCACCTATTCATCCAAATACCTGTTTATTAATTTCGGACCGCTGATTCAGGTGAGATCATATCTTATCCGTAAAACAATAAGACCATAAACTCTGCATTCAACCACCCCTCAGGGGAAGATCGTTTCGAAATCCCACACATTATTACTTAAATAGAAATGAATGGACAGTATGACAAAAACATTCCTTTAGATTTCTGACTCAACAGCGAAAAAACCGATTCTGATCACCAGCGGTTCAAGCTAATTAATGTATTGTTGTTGAAACGACAAATGATCTTATGAGGCATAGAATCTAAGGATTTATTCGCCATTCGGTGGTGTTGATCATCAATGCTAATATCGACGTTCGACCTGCGTCTGTAAACCTAGTTCAGCCTGATTTACTCTATTTTAGCAATTATTTATGAGCAAATTAAAGAGCTGACCCCCAAAACAACGTTTGAACGCTCATTGTTCCGAACTACTCTTGAGATCATTCGTGTGAGCTTATCATAGTCTTCAAAAGTTGGGCCGAACAGAACTCCCGAAAAATTGCAAACCTGTTATTTCTATCAGAGGCATCAACGGATAAGCAATAGAAAATTATGGGAGGTAAATGATAAGATGGAGGATGCAGGTTGCAGATTATTTTTCTACGCGTCGTATTTTAAGAGTCGTAGACTACAAGTATGTTTGCAGGGCATTCGCAGAGATTTATTTCATAAGTACCCTTCTGTTATTCAGTTTCTGTTTTGGAGTCAATGTAATTTACTATAGGCATAAGGACCTTAAGTTTACTTTAATAGGTCAATCAGAGACATGACGTGTTATTTTTCTAAACTGAAGCTATGAATTTCTCCCTGATGACTTACATGATTCAAAATCCATAAACTATTTTCACTTGACATCAAATCTGGGAGGCTCTGGTTAATTCAACAGATTCCGCTGCATACACCTCTTTCTGACAAGGTAGCTTTGCCCTCATTGTTCGTCTGGGTGAAAACCTGATCTTCATCAACTTACATTATCAATTCACTTAGAAGCGCAACCTACTGCCCACAATGCCATTCCCGCCCCCAAGGTTTTCTCATTATTGACAGGCCACACGTCAGTCGGCGACATCGGCGACTTGCAGGGAGCTTATACCTGACCAACGAACAACTCATGATTTCTTCTTTTTTTAAATAAAATCACCCCCGCTATCTGTTATCGACCAATCAGAACTCCTAGGTCGCCAGTGCAAGCGCTCATGCTTGTAGGGACACAATATAAGGCAGTCTGTTTCTACTCCTCCGGTTATTACTCAAAATGTCTCTTCCGCAAGCAGAATTATTCGAAGACAAATTACCCCTGATCCGAAGCTGTCCTGCATTGAACGAAATCCGCCTTGCTCAGGATATAAAAGACCTGACGATAGAGGTAGCTTCTATCACCGAGGACATTTTGGTTGTGCATATGTTAGGTAAAAAATGGCGATGTTCTTTATGCCCATCGCATAATACTAGCTGCTCGCATTCCGTCTTTGCGAGCGGCTCTCAGTGGCTCCCTTGGGGAGGGGAATTCAATCCTAAGATGGCCAACAATGCCCCTCAGGTAAATCTGGTATCCAGACTTTTACTTTTCTTACTGTTTATGCGTTATCTAGGCTTGCATCTTCACTCGTGCAGTATGTTTACACTGGTCAAGTGGAGCTAACGCAAGTGA